CTTACTGACGTGCCCCACACTATCAGCTATTTTGGGCAACTCCTTGATGATAACAGAAGTAAAAATTACAACGGTAATTACAGCGATGACAACAGAGGGAAGTTTATTCGTATTCACTTTGACGACGAACTTAACGATATCAACAAGAACAGTACCAGAAGCGGCATCCTAAAATACGGTGATGAACACAGTAGAAGCAAAAAAGAGCGATTCATACGCTTTCGGCCTCGACTTATGTTTAATGACAGTTACACCAATAATACCCTCAAAAACATCAGCGAGAACAAAGAGAAGGAAAATTTTATTCGCACTCACAACGACACATTATTTAGCTCAAATAACAAGACTGGCATCAGTTTCTTAAAGATGAACAACAAGGACGACAACAACAACAGCAGCAGTAAAATGCCGATCCAGTGGGCTGAAACCTTCCACCTATTTGATGACAGGAACAAATCAACAACAGTATGGTGAGCAGAAGCAGTGCGAAGAATTTCATCCGAATGTAGAAAACTTAAACTTTGCAATGATGTCGAGAATTTAAAGACGCCAGCAACTTTAGCAGTGGTACTCACAAAAATATTATTGTAGAGCTGCTTAGCAGGGGTAGCTTCACTAAAATGAATTTAAATTTAGATATTTTGTGATTGTGAAAAAGGTAAAAAGTAGAAGTGAAAAACAGAAAATAAAAACTGAATTTGAGTGTTTCGGTCCATTCAGTCGCTTACATTGCCATTAGCATCATCAGTATTGACCACAGTGATCAACTTTCTCTCACCATTATCACTAATAACAACAATAACAGCAACGACAAAGAAAAAAGTTCTACATTCATGCATGCTGGACATTCGCAGTCTGAATTAGTATCAGCATTTTTAAAAGCAACGGTTAAAAGTACTATAAAAACGATTTTACGGGGATTCACTCTGACACAGCTTGTAAGGCAGTGAAAAAAATTGCACAAATAGCACGACATCGTCTGCTAAACAGTGTAGTAGTGGCGACCATAACAACAGCAACATCCTGGTGGACAATAACGAAACTGATAATTTTGACCATAATTAGTTCATCCATGTAATTCTGCGTGATTTTTTAGCAACAAAAGAAAATAACAACGACAGTGTGGATCTAGATTATGCATATTTGTCCATTTTAAAAACGCTGTCAGCTCTTAGATTTTACTATGCAAACTATTATACAACTGTTTGTTCTGAAAATAGATTAGATTTCAAGCACGAATAAAGGCATTTTGTTTTTTGGACACACCAGTCACAGTGTTTTTAATATCTTAAGGATGAACTGATGCAGATGTGCAAAGAAGGCCGTTTACTACATAAAAGCCAACGTTTATTGGAACTCTCCGCATTTATTTTTCTTTTCTGCATGTAAATTTTTGTGGGTATCTAAGACTCTCGGTCAGCTGAGCTGCACGCAAGACATTATTGCGCCACGCGTGAAAGTGAAATCCGAATAGCAAGGCATGTCACGCGCCTAGCTGAATGCTAGCAAATGTGACTCATTAGCGAATGGTGCTCGCAAGAGTGTGAATAACTTAAATGACTTTCAAGAGATGGCGCAGCTACTCATAAAAGCACTAGTGGCTAACTGAATATACAGCACAAGAGCGAAGCACATGGTATGACTGATTCGGCGCGAGGAAGTGTCCAGTAACATCGCTAAGGCAGGACCCCAGTACCGATTGTCTAGGATGTCCTTATTAATAACCGGCCATGCACACCAAAGGACGGGTAGTGCTATACGTTTATAAACTATTGCGGGATCAATTGGCGAAAAATGTAGCAGAATTAGAAGTTGGTGGAACTTCGTCGTGATAATTTCAATATTTACTGGGCTTATTAAAATTCCTAGCAAACACACTGTGCTTCATTCTACTCGTATTTTGATGTATCTGAACAAATTCGATAACGGGTCGTAGATTTCTGATCGAATACAGAGTAGTGAGCTAAAGTCCCGAAATCTTGAATTAGTTTTCTAAAGTTTTATGAAATCAGCTAAAATTTAGAGCAAAGCTGAAAAATTTTTGCGTCGTTTAGTGGAAGACAATGTTTGAAGCATGAAGCATGTTTGAAAGTTTCTTTGTCGTTCTGGGATAACACTAACTAAAATTTAACATGCTGTATAAGTTTATGAAGTAACGTGAAGCTTTTAGTTACTTTGCGTGGTCGATGACTACGAAAATATTCAAAACAGACTTTTTTGTAGTCCTGCAGTTGTTTTCTCTGAAAACACACACTTACATACACGCATATGCATGCAAACAAACAAGTATACATACATACGTATAATTATATATGCATACATACATGCGTATACTCATAAATGCGCTACGAAACATTATCTTTCCGTGTTGCGTTTATGCGTGTGTATGCGTGACATAGTGGCTGAAATCTAAAAAATTTGACTTAAAAAGCTGGTTTCTTTTTTGTTTTCAGGATTTAACTCCCAGAAATCCGCAAATATGGCAATGAATGTAATTTCCTGCGCTCTTCTCATTTGCTGTGCTGTGTTAATGCAAAAAACCACTGCAGTAACAATTCTATCAGAACCATCGAGCCAAAAAAATAGCAGCAACAACATTTCCAGTTGGAATCTCGGACACATACTTTCCAAAATGCACAATTTTGACTATGTCTTCGACAACAACAGTGACAGCAGCAATAACGGCGTCTTAAAAAATAACAGCAAGTACATCACTGGTGGAAACAATAGGAATTTCACTAGCATTCAGCTTCTCGACGTAATTGACGACAGCTACAACAGCACTATCAGAAACGATATTCTGAAAAACATCGACGCGGAAAGCAACAACCAAAAAGGACAAATCCTTCCCAACTGGTCCAAGTTGGTGTTTGTTGGCAGCAAGAGTGATAGTATCTCTGAAAACCACAGCGAAAGCAAAAGCAATGAAAAAAAGCTCAACCGAACTCACCACGGCATACTGTCTAATGCAGATAGCAAGGCTGATATCAGTATGGCAAATACCTACGATGGGGACAGTATCAACAACAAAACCAGGCGAAAAGAGAGGATTAACTGGGCTCGTACCTTGCGACTATTTGACGACAGAAACGAAACCGACGCGGCAACGTGAAAGGCAAGAAAAGCAGTAACGAATTTCATCCAGATATTGAAACTGTAGAAATTTAATTTAGCAATAAAAGATCTAAAAAAATTAGCAGCATTAACAGTGGTGCTCACTGAAATACTATTGTGGGACAACCCAGCAGCAGTAGCTGTAGCAACTCAAACGACATCACAAGCCCGTCAACCTTAACGATAAACTTTGTTGCAGCAATAAAAATATCAGTAACAGCAAAGAAAAATGCTTTTTTTCGCACTCATATATATTCGGTATTCGAATTCTCAAGCAGCAGCATCATCCTTGAGAGCAACAGCGAAGAGAAAAACAATGCAAAGTATTTCAAGGATTCACTCTATCCCAAAGCTTAGCTATAGCAAAAGAAAATAGCAGCAAGGGCATCAGCACCACCAAGTTCATTCGCATTCATTCTGCCAAGCCATTTGAGAGTGGAAGCAGCGTCAGCCTGAAAACAGTAATCAAAATTCGCCGGTACAAGTTTTTGTGGAATTTTTAGTAAGAACGATAAATGCAGCAGCAATATGGATTTAGGAATTTAAAGATTTTTCTTGCTGAAATGCATTTAGGCTTTTCCGTGCTATCTGTCTCAAAATTGTACTGTCTTAAAAAAAATAAATTGAGTTTTAAAGAAAACCAAATGTATTTGATTTTGTAAAAATATCAGAAGAATACTTTAAATATACTAAGAATGAAGTGGGGCAGGTGTGTAAAAGGGATGGATGCTTCTTAAAAGCTGA